TTAAGCGCTCAATTTTTGGCGAAAGTCTAGCATGACCTTGAATTTCCACTTGTAATCCGGCCTTGCATACATGACAATGACAGGAGAACACAGTGTAAGTGGTATGTGAATCGGGCTGTTCACACAATTTATCTTTGGGACGACTCCTTGCAGTATCCCAAATGACCATTTAGTTTGAGCCCTTCTCAGATAAAACCAGCAAACAACTTTGTTTAACGTTATTAGAACAATTTTGGTGCCGATACCAATAGTAGCCTGCCTAATGCTAAACCCATCCACAAACTTTACCGTAATCCACAATGGAAAGAAATGCGAGATATACTTTTTCGGTTCAAATTTGAATTAGTGAACAATAGAGGCCTAGGAAAGTTACTTGAGTTATTAAGATCAAGCAATGAGCACATTTTTTGGGACTCTTTATATGCTTTTTCTAGGGAAACGTAAGTACCAAAAAAAAAAGAAAAACTAAACATTTCAGTGATAACCAACTATGGTAGATTAACCCATAAATCAAAAATGTCGATATCGTACACAGTTTATTTTCACAACTTTTTACAATGCGAAATTATACCCTTCAAAGAAAATATACAATAACTTTGCGCGAAAACAAAAATATATCGAATAGAATCTCTCGAATCCAAAATTAAAGATCAGAGTAGCGAAAAGCACGGAACGATTAACGGTGACTGGGATAAAATGCCAACAGCAGCGTAAGAATCTTAGAATGTGAACAATAAAGTCAAAACTAGCAATAACTAAATCTAGCCGTTAAACTAGCGCTAAATTCTAATGAAGCTATTATTCAACACACGAGATCACCATATTACGATGTTAAATAGCCCGAACGAATGCACCATTGCGTAGCGACCTGTAATTGCTGCTTTGAAAAATACGAAAATTAGCTATAGGAATCTACAGTACTCCTACAGTACTCACTCCAGTGCCGTAACAGGACAATTCCAACTTTGCATTCGGGTCAGAAGGATGGTAAGTCCGAAACCGACAGTAGGGTATGTCGGTTAACGCTGTGGCGAACAGTCCGGCTCGTCCAGCTACAGTACGAAATTCGCTTATGGTTACGGTAGAGTTGAACATTATTGACCGAATCATCCACGGGCATTTCAAGGCTCTCCATGACTAAAGACAAAT